AAGGGACAGTATAGTGTAATGATAAGGAGCATGGGCTTTGGAGTTAGACCTATATTCAGTTTTCATTTCCACCACTTATTAGTAGTATGATTTTGGGAAGGTTATCTATGAATCTCAGTTTCTTCATTTGGGCAATGGGAATAATCAGACCTACCTCGCAGAGTTATTGAAAGGAATAAATGAATCACACACGTGTGCCTGCCATGGAGTAAGCTTTCAAAACATGGCAGCTGCCATCTTTATTTCCCTCAAGAAATAAATGGCCCTTATGATGCCTAGATGGCACAAGGGGGCAGCTTAAGAATTGTTCTACTGTCTGTTTCTCACAGTACTTTCCTACTCTTATCAGCTCCCTCTTTTATTTCAAAAATACAAAGATTTATTTGTTGGAAGGTAACTGAGGAACCAGCATGATCCAACAAGCAGCTACAGATGGTTCTTCTTGGGGCTTGAAGGAAAACTTCTCTCAGAGATGCTGTGGAATCGGCACTGCCACTGGACCAATCCTTCCCACTTCCCTTTGCCAGACTGTTGCTGGCAGCAGGGCTCTCCGGAAGTTTCTAGCCTCAGGAGAGTGCCAATTGCACCACCATTTGCATCCTTGCCCATTTATCACTCTGAGCTTCCTTTTTAGTAGTTGGTGATAGACTATTCAGCTTCTAACATAGTCATCCACTTCCTTTTTTACTTCTGATTCCATCAGTAGACAAAAGGGGATTATCCCATGGTGGTGGGTAAAAAGCACAATTGAAGTTTTTCTGATCGTTAATTGTACCTTAAGTCAAGGCATACAGGGCTTTCACTGGATTGGGTGTTGCATTTCACAGGTTAAAGTGCACTGTTCAAGTATGGCAAAGAATCTTGATCAAGACAATGGTCAGTGGTTCAAGAGGCAAGGTCACATAGCTGCCTTGTTCTGGGGGAAAAAAAATGTTCCCCCTGCAGCCTGAGAGACTTAAGGTGCATTTATGCCCCCGGACTGCCTGTCTCCTTTTCCCAGAGAGGTCCCTCCTGAGGCTTCTCCCAGGGAGCAGGGGAAGTGTGCATTGGAAATGGCACACTTATCTTCCATTGCAGGGAAAGCTTTTGTTTTATTTTTCTCTTGCTGCATTAAAGTATTTGTCTTTCTTTCTTTGTAGTGTAATATTGTTAATGTAAAACAATTTGCATCATGACACTTTTATCACAGTTTTCGTCTTTTTCTCAGTATGTTGCATTTCTCACCATGTCTAGTTCATCACAGCTACAGTGTGTACATCACAACATTTATCTTAGGCTCAGGGTTTTACTTGTTTATAAAAATTGTCTTCTTTCAGCCTGTATTCACTCCATTTAAGAAAAAAAAAAAAAAAAAAGGCAGCCAGAAACTGTTTTGGTCCAAACTCCAGTAGTTATCACATTCTTTGCTAACCGTCCTGTGTATTTATATGTCTCCTAACTATTACTCTATGTTTCAATGACATTTCTCAGTTTCATGGCTTGGGGAGGTTGTAGGAGCAGCTTTTGCTGTCCAAGCTGCTATGTAAAGAAGGGCCAGGAAGTGAGGTGAAGTGGGACGACACGGTTGCAGATCTGGGTGAGGCCTGGGTGTTAAAGTTGACTGTTTCCCACGAGCACAGACCTAGATTTAATTCTGGGAGAGACAAGGTGGGTGGAAACAGCAGCGCAGGCAGTGCAGGTTTAAAGCATGACTAGCAGACAGGAGCACTGAGGAGGACTCTAGCAGGGTGCTCCAGGGCGTGAGATGCAGAATATTAACGTTCCCTGTCAGAGTCAAGCCCCGGCTTTTCCTGTCTTCAGCTTTGAATGCTGCACAACAGCATCTCTTAGGGAAATTTATTTTCCCCTTTCCTCTCTGACAGGCAAACAATTGCTCAGGGCTCTGTTGCTATGTCGGGGTATATGTCACCTGCACAATCAGAAGCAAACGCCTCCCAAATCTCACAAGGCTGTGCAAACCGATCTCTCTTCTGATTAATCCAGTCTCAAAAAAGCATGGGGTCTCAGGAGCCAAAGGGTACCCAGTAAATTTGTGCACTTCAAATTCCAGAACAGTTAATTAACATTTTATGTCAGACTACTCCTTTGCTGGAGGATCCCATCAAGGGCAGCTTGGAGTTTTAGTAGAGACACCGTGCAGCATAGGAGTTAAAAAGGGGTTGTATGGTCAGAGTTTTTGTCTAGCTCTGACACTGCCTACAGATGTCACCTTCTGAATCTCAGTGTCTCCATCTATAAAGCAGGAGTGGCACATACATACCTCACAGGGATGTTGTGAGGATTAGATGGAATAATGTTCTAGAACTCTTTTATGATGCTTAGCACAGTGACTGGTACAGTCACTAATACACTAATGCTATTATTATTAATAGCACCATGGATGAATTGGAGCCCTGGTGGCACAGTGGTTAAGAGCTCAGCTGCTGACCAAAAGGTTGGAAGTTCAAATCCACCAGCCACTCCTTGGAAACCCTATAGGGCAGTTCTCCTCTGTCCTATAGGGTCTCTATGAGTCGGAGTCAACTCCACGGCAATGGGCTTTATGGGTGGATGGGTTGAAAGTGGGAAAGACATATCTCAGCCACTTTCGGAATGAGAATGTTTTATTCCATCTATCCCAGCTGTTCCCACTTGCTTCTGCAAAACTAGGACTGGATACTGAGGGTGGTACAAAATAAGTGTTTTGTAATTTATTTCGTTTGTTCATTTAATTGATACGAACAATACAGGCAAACCCTTTTTTCATGAAGCTTATGGTTTAAGGGGTTATATAAGAAATAAATATCGGTTGACTAGATTTAAAAAATGAGTGAATGAATGGGGGATGTTGGGATCGATGGATTCATACATGTATGGACTTATCTGGGTCATGTCACCAGATAAAAAGTTTCTTAAAAAATAAATAAGAGTGTGGCTTTCAATGAATCCTAGGTATTTCTTTTGAATGTCATGGGGAAACTCTCACTGTTGGTCAGAAATGCAGTATGTTCAGGATGAGTGGGAGGCCATTTGCTCTAAGCTTTTCAGGACAAGGTAGCCCTGGAAGCCTCAGGCACCTGAGACATTTTGGGTGACTCTATCCTCAAAGTTGTAGACATAACGTCTTTTTATCCAGAAACACTGTGTCATAGCAGTCCCACATCAGCATCAGCAATTTTAACTTCACACACACAAAAAAAGCTGTGCCATGTTTCTTGATTCCTATTTCTGTGAGGAACCAGAGGGACTATTCTTACTCCTTTTTTTTTTTTTACAGCAAACAAAGCCCAGAGAGCAGCCTGTCTCCATCCACACAGCTCACTTTTTTTTTTTTTGCTTTTTTTTTCGTCTTTTTATATAAATCAGGTCATACAATATTTGTCCTTTTGTGATTGGCTTATTTCACTAGCATAATGTCTTCAAGCGCCAGCCGTACTGTGTGCATCAAGACTTCATTTCTTCTACTGGCTGAGTAGTATCCCATTGTATGTAAAACCCGTGTCATAGAGTTGATACCGACTCATAGCAACCCTATAGGACAGAGTAGAACTGCCCCATAGGGTTTCCAAGGAGCAGTTGGTGGGTTCGAACTGCCAACCTTTTGGTTACAGCAGCTGAGCTTTTAACCCCTGCGCCACCAGGGTTCCTGCCCGTTGTATATTTGTACCACATTTTTGTTTATCTATTCATATGCTGATAGGCATTTAGGTGTTTCCACCTTTCGGCTATTGTTAATAGTGCTGCAGTGAACTTTGGTGTACAAGTCTCTTTTTGAGTTTTTGTTTTCAAGTCTTTTGAGTATACACCTAGGAATGGAATTGCCACACAGCTCCTTGATATTGAAGCTGGGACTAAAATAGAAGCAGCCTGACCTCAGCCCCATCCCCTTTCTGCTGGACCACCAAGCTCCCATCAGAAGTCTTTAACTGGAATTAGCTACAAAGATAACTGTAAAATACAAACCCGGGATCTCATAAAGTTGACTTAGAGTTGCCAAGATGCTTCAAGACTAGCTGGTTGATTTTAAACCCATAGAGAGGCTACTGCCCCTTCCTCTGCCAATTCATAATAAGAAAATAAAAACAGGCTGTAGCTCACCCCCTCCCAAAGGCACCACAGCATCTGTGGGGCATTAGCTACCTTCATCCCAACTTGGTAAAAATCTTCAAATTAAGATCAGTTGACCAGTGCTATGCTTTCAGGGGCTTTTTCATCTAAGGCCTCTGATTCTCATCCTACAAGCCCCTACCTGACTCAAGCCACAAAGCAGTCTACAAAAAGCTGACATCCTCAATTTTTTTTTTTTTTTTTATCCTGTTTACCTGGCTGCTTTAGGAATGACTTGGTCCAATAGCAGCATTTTCATTCTCACTACAGAATGAAGCAGACAACAGCCACCCACTGCTATTCGAAGGCCATCCTTGGTCTTTTTCACCCCCTCCCCTCCCATATGTTCCATTTGCCTAAGTTTTAAACATCTGTTCCCAAAGAGGTAATACTGCTTTTCATTCAGAACCTAGCAATGTAGACCAAAGTTCACATGACATATTGCAGAGTACGTTTAGTTGCAAATGCGATGTACAGGCTCTTTGAAATGTAGCATGTATGGCATCATGTGACACATTGTTGCCATGGCAATACACTTTTTGGCTGAACTACAGCATAAGCCCATGGAACATACATTGCTAATAAGAGACTATGCCCCGCGCTAATGCATAGGACGCCGCCAGTCTGGGATCCGGGACTCAAGGGGCTTTGCGTGCAGCCTCAGGGGCAGGTGCCCACTTTCCTACATGCGCAGGGAAGCTGTGGCACCCTCCCTTCCCAGTCCTGTCTCCCCAGCACCGGGCATGCTGTGCATCCTGCCATGCATGGAGACAGCATTTGCTTGAATATCGGTTTGCTATATTTTGTATCAAAGGGGGCCCCAGCTGAAAACATTTTATTTTGTAAACTGAAGTGAAAAATCAGTTTATGGCAGATCCTTTTTTGAATAATGACATTCTTTTTCCCAATTCCAGAATTCAACAGTCATGAGCAGAGCTGAAAATTTTAAGCAAGTTGAGTACCTCCTTATTCATGGAACAGCAGATGGTGAGTTTCAGTTAATTAGACTTTTTAGTATCACAGACAGGTTTGCAATTTCACTACTGACAAAACAAAAGCATGAGGGGCAAGACTGTTACATTTACTTCAATAAAACAGTGTTGCTTTCCATAACTCACTTGTCTTCGGCTAAATGGGAGGCTGAGTCCTAGAACTTCAGACAGTCCCTTTCTTCTTGTGCTTTTACCACCCTTTGGTATCAGAAAACTGGAGCAGCTATTAGCTACTTTATGTTTCCCTTCTCTCCCTGCAGATAACGTTCACTTTCAGCAGTCAGCTCAGATCTCCAAAGCGCTGGTGGATGCCGGAGTGGATTTCCAGGCAATGGTATAGCAAAACTTTGTGCAAGGGGAGGGAAGTTGCTGGTGGGGCTATGGTTTCCTCCCTCTGGACAACTTCTCTTCACAGAGGTCCAGGAGACAGGGAAGGAATTCAAAGGGTTTTTATTTTTCCAGTGTGAAGTCGGAGAAGTGATGCCCTTGATCACAGAGTGATGTTCAATAATTCTAGAGAGTTTGAGGTTGAGAAGTATAATATTGCATATCCTGGGAATGTCAAAACACTGCACTCCTGTCCATGTGATTGTTCAGTCTCTCCTTTCCCTATTTGGATTCAAAAGTAATCACTTATTTAGTAAATGTGTGGTAGAGTAATTCTAAAGTGAAACCAGCACGATAATAGCTCAGCTCAAATATGAAAATCCATTTCTGTCTAGGCTATTATTACTAGCAATTCTACCAACAGTGGGATATTAATAATCAGCACGCTTCAGCTTTTGCAATTGCCATGTTATCTTTTGTTGAATAACCACAGGCAATAAACAATTAGATTTGTTTTATAAAGTCAGAAATGGCTAGAACTGTTGCTGCCTAGGCAGAGGATATTTCTGGGTATTAAGGCAAATCCTTTTTCTGCTCTGGAGTTTTTCAGACTAAGAAGAAATGTGTGTGTTGCACTAAACATTTTAGTGTACAATGCAGCCTTCTTGTTTGTTCTAGCCAGAAAAGCTTGCTTTTCCCCACTCTCTTCTAACATACATGCTTTGCTCTGTGCTCAGTTCAAATGCTGCCTGCTGTATTGAAGTATAAATCATTTGGATCCTGAGAAAACTGACACATATCCTTTGGGTCAGGTTTTTATACGAAGTTAAGATTTATTTTTCTTATAAGGTTTATTTTTTCACTATTCAAAGAGAAGACATGATACACTAATTAAGCAGTTTTTAAAAGTTAATTGATGTCTCATAATATATGTTTGTCTAGCAATGACTTTCTACTTGTTTAATATGGATGAATTGATACATTTTTGCCTCAGGTCCTAAGCTCTTTCTATATAAATGTCAGACATACAGATTAAAAAAAACAGTGAAAAATCTTAAGTGTTTACAAACAATACATTTAACTTTTGACTTCACTCATGTTACACATATATGTTTAATAATGAAATAGATTTTTCCAGCTCCTTAGTGAAATATATTAGGAAAAGTTGCTTTTAAAAAAATCATTTTTTTAATACAGTTTATCCTACTATAGTGTAGGAGAAATTTGACACTTGATAGCACTTAATTAAAACAACTGAGCTCAGTGGGATAAACCTTTTTTCTGTGCATGGTGTGGTTTTTAATATCCTATGAGTCAAATTTGAAAATGAATTTGGGCGTGTTAATTAGAATTTACATATTCTTAAAGCACCATGCGGTAAAGCCAAATTCACAGTGAGTTCTCTCAGTACCTTCAAGGGTGGACTAGAGACCTTTGTGGGACAGAACAACATGCCCTGGTAAAGCTCTGAGGAAAATTAGCATCATCTTTGATCAAGTTTCAGTTTATAAACTGTTCCAGGAATTAAAATACCCTGCTTTATACTACAATGCTCATGTGAGTTCATTTGAATTGATGGAAAAAAAAAAAAAAAAAGAACTGGATTTCTAATCTTTACCTTTTTTGTTTCTCTCTCTAGTGGTATACTGACGAAGACCATGGAATAGCTAGCAGCACAGCACACCAACATATATATACCCACATGAGCCACTTCATAAAACAATGCTTCTCTCTTACTTAACACCTCAAAATAGCATGCCATTTAAAGATTATTGAAAACAATTTTTATTCTTATTTTCTCAAAACTGTACTGTCAAGATGATGATCTTAAAGAAAATACAGTCAAATCAAGAAATTTCAGGTTAACCTTGTCCCCAGATTTTACACCTATAATCTTAAGTAGGGACTTCTCTCTTTGCCACAGATTATTGTCTTACAGAAAAGTTTGAATTATTCAGTCTGGTTTTGTTTATCATTTAAAATCATTTCCATGTCAGCTGTTGAAACAACAGAAAATATGAATTATGGACGCTTTGCATAGGTTCCTGGACAGGATTTTCTCTTTTTATAACTGGACTAGTTCAGATCTTTTCTCTTCTTTAAAGGAATGGCAAGATGTGGGCAGTGATATCACTAAGACAGGGGCAAGAAAAAAGAGGGTAGGGAGAGAAGATAGCAGGGCATGACTGGGAACCGAAGACCGAGCATACCAACCCAACCAGACTACTGTCAACTTCCTTGGAGAAGAACTGCTCACAGCCAGACGGGCACAGTTTTTTTGAGAAAGACTATTCAAACAGTCTCAGGAAATCATATATGCAAAATGCAAAGCACCGACTTCTGAGTAAAACCACAGCCATTGAATAGACTCCAAAGAAACGCAAGGGAAACTGCCAACAATGCAAGGCCCCCAGGTGCCAGTTATGGCTATAGGTGCTACAAAAACACAGCAAGGGTGAGGGGAAAGCATTCTAAATGTGTTTGGAAAGAAAATACTGATGTTTCCTAGTGAAAGAGGCAGCTTGGAACTGGGATGTGAACACATCAGCTTGCCCCGTTAAAAGATGAAAATATTTGTATCACAAATCCCAACTTGAAGGAGTCCTTGCATCGAGTTTTCTTATTTCATTTCTTTGAGCATCTTAGTGCTTAATTAAAAGAATATTTTAAGTTCCTTGGTCTCATTTTAGAAAATGGAAAATAAACTAGAATGTTATGTATCAGTATCTGCATTCTACATGCTGTGGAATTTCCCCTGGTCAATTAATAAATGTGCCTTCATTTTTTCATAGGTAATGAGTTGTGCCTTGAATCAGACCTAAACCACACTGACATATGGACACTTTTATCCAGAAAGGCTCTTGTTTATTTCGTTAGTTACCAAAGCCTACCTCGTAAACATGCAGATTAGAATTAGATTTAGTATTTATTTTTTTAGTATTAGGATTTAGTATTAGTGACAAACAGAGGCCTGGTCAGCAGACTGCAACTTGTCTGCGACTTTTGTGTCGTAATTCCAACTCTGAGAGGCTCTTGGGTTATGTGGTAACGCTGAAGGATGAAACAGCCAATCATGATAAGGAAATGTTTTTTTATTACTGTGAGTTCACTGGTGATGTCGATCGCCTGGAATTGGCAGACGTGGTCGAGTATAGCTTGTCCAAAGGCAAAAGCAACAAAGTCAGTGCAAAAAAAGTGAATAAAACACACTCAATGAATGGTATTACTAAGGAAGCTGATCCCACCATCTACTCTGGTAAACTCACCCACCCCCCTGAGGAGTGTTGATCCAACACAAACTAAGTACCAAGGAAGGATTGAGGGTGTAGAGAGGGGGATATGAAAGGTGAGGTGTATCCATTTGGTATAGTTGGGATGGCCAACAAAGGGGAGAGTGTCAAGTTCCAGTTGTGTGTCCTGGGCCAAAATGAACAGACTATGGCCTACAACATCACACACCTGTGTAGAGCCACAGTGGAGTGTGCAAAAGATCATTTGGCTTCATTAACTATGAAGGAGGAGAGGAGAAGCAAGAAGCTCTTTTTCCATGTGAAAGAAGTTCAGGATGGCAGTGAGCTACAGGCAGGAGATGAGGTAGAGTTCTTGGTGATTCTTAATCAGCGGACTGGCAAAGTGCAGCACCTGTAATGTTTGGCGAGTCTGTGACAGCCCCAAGGCTGTTGCAGCTCCAAGACCTGATCAGCTGGTCAGTCGTTTGAAAAGCATCACCCTGGATGATGCCCGTGCCCTCGCCTAATGGTTCTTCGTCAGCCAAGGGGACCAGATAGATAACTCAATGGGATTTGGTGCCAAAGGAAAGATCCGTCAAGCTGGTGTCATTGACTAATCACATTCACAACACACATCATTTATCCGCTATGATCAAGTTGGGAGGATTTTGGGGAGGGTTCTGAATATCTCCCTCTTCATCCCTCCCCAAATCTGGGTATTTGTTCTGTTGAGCTATTTCACCAGTTTAAAACTTGTGTTATGTTTTAAAATAATTAAATAATTAAATAAATTTAAGAGAACTGTTGAAATTATGCAGAGTTGCAGCCTGGAAAACTTAAGGTGGCAACTATAGTATCAATTTTAGGAGCTTTATTTGGTAAACTTAAGGCAACTGGCAATTGCAAAATCCACTTCACCTGTATAGGTGATAAATATAGACTGTTGTCTTGTTGGCCCTATGAAATTCTACACTTGCTATTTAGTGTCCACCTTAATTACTTCTGGCAAGATGTTCTGCCTTAGCACTCAGTTGCTTTCTTTTCCTTTTCTTTCCTGTTCACTATGCTTTAATTTTGAGGACCATATGAGGGTAGAATGTCCTACCTTTTAAAAATTACACAAACTTATATAGGCAAACCATTTCCTCCAGTTGATGGCCAAATGTTAAAATGTTATTTTTCATATCATTTATAATCTTGTCACAGTTCACTTAACAAAGTTTGGTTAGATTTCAGTGAAAATTATCTTCCAGAGTAGTTTCCCTTCCCTCCCCATGGGAGGTAACTTTACTACAATTAGCATGTATGGTGCAGAATTTCATGCAAGTGAGATGTGTCAGCAGTGTGACAATTTAAATGTATTTAAACAAAAAAAAAAGGTCAAATGCATAAACTTGCTGCTGCTGCTGCTGCTTAGTCACTGCAGCTTCTAGGACCTAGTTTCTTTTACTGATTTAAAAACCAAAGTTGTATCTGAAAACAACAAAAATTAGATATAGAAACGTGTTAAATTAAGCAGTCTATCAGGTTTTTGTCTAACACATACACAATTTCCGTTATCATATATACACATACCTTTTGAGACACTGACTTAAAATAATATCAGTTACTGATACAATGTTGTTGTTGTTAGGTGCTGTTGAGTTGGTTCCGATTCATAGCGACCCTATGTACAACAGAACGAAACGCTGCCCAATTCTGCGCCATCCTCACAATCCTTGCTTTGTTTGAGCCCATTGTTGCAGCCACTGTGTCAGTCCATCTCATTGAGGGTCTTCCTCTTTTTCGCTGACCCTCTACCAAACATGGTGCCCTTCTTCAGGGACTGGTCCCTCCTGATAACATGTCCAAACTGATAGAATACATAATACATACAGATGTAATACATAATGTATAATTTATTCTTGGGATCTGATGAGGCTCATAAGAACAAATAATTATCAACTATATCAGCTTGTTAGCACTGATGATGGCTCAGTAAAAGTAAACAAAAAAAAAGTTAAGTCAATCACTTACGTATTGACTATTTTTGACTGATATAACTATAATAATGACTACTGTAATTGTATCTTTGGGCCTAATTATGGCATGGATTTCAGATCCTGAATTTGGCCTAACTGCACAATGTCTAGATAACTGAGGAAACGTGGTTTTTCTTTTTGTTTCAGTTATTTGCAAAATGACTTCATTTTTAAAAAGTTGAGCTTTTGCTAGACAACGTTATCCCAGACAGGGGATTAAAAGCCTAAAAATCTGAAATGGAAGAAATGGAAGAATCTAGCAATTCAACAATGAGACTGGTGAATCATGCATAAGCATGACCAGAGGATTATGAAACTCTTTATTTTCAGAGCAGTTTCATCTTAATTAAGTCCCAAATCCATTCATCCACTGGAACTATAAACAGATCTTCAAACCTATGGGGCTCTTATTATATTTCTTAATAAAGTTCAATCATCTTAAGAAAGTGAACCAATCTTTGCTGAGTTCTATATTCAGAAACATAGTTATATATCCTGTGCTCACATTCTGGACTACATTAGTAGTCATAAAACCAAATTAAATAGGAATTCTCTTTTTATCTTATCTTGGAACCAGATATTGTACAATATCTGATACTGTAAAACATCTGATATTGTGCAATATATGTCTGATGTATATCTGATATTTTACAATATCAAATTTTGTAATATATATGTATATATCAGATATGGTACAATATAAAAACTTTAATCCTAGATATGAGTTTGCTTTTTCCTTTAGTTCCTAAACATGCTAAACATTTTCTCTGGAGCCCAGAGGTAATAAAAAAAAAAATCCCAGTACATATTTTTTGGTCAATGGGGATGGCAAGTGGTAATGATGTGATTGAAACCAAAAGAATCTTCATCTGACTCTCAGAGGAGAGTCTTGCTTCTCAGTAAGAGTTTTAAATTAGCTTATTGGGAAAGAAAGGTAAAGAAATTGACAAATAAATTATAAATGTAATCTGAGACTAAGTTTGAAACACACAGGAGCTAATCATATCGCTAAGATGTGCAGACTTGCCTGCCATTGGAAGTCGCAGCGTGTGGGTATGTGGATGACTGGGACACCTTTCATGAACCACCCGTTAGAGTGCACCCAGCACCCAGGGATTCATACATCAAAGGAAAGGAAAAGTGGTTCACATCTATTCTATGGATACAGGGCCTGGATTTAAAGTTACTTTCAAGATTTTTAGAAAATCATTTAAAAATTATTTTTGAGCATAATGTGTTGGAAATCTTGCTAAAAATAATTATACACCTCCATGCTTCCTTAAATAGCAGGCGCAGAGCATAATTCAACATATCCGCAACTCAGGACCATATAAATCTATTAGGCTATATGTCATTTTGGGTATTTTCTGTTCTCTTTCTTATTTACAGGTGGTCACTGAGGCTACAAGCTCCATCTTTTGGCATTTGTTGCTTTGCTCTAAGTAGATGTGAGAATTCTAATTTGTAAGACTACTAAACCCACTGCCGTTGAGTCGATTCCAACTCATAGCTACCCCATAGGGTTTTCAAGGCTATAAATCTCTACAGAAGCCGACTGCCACATCTTTCTCCCATGCAGCCAGGGTGGTTTTGAACCATTGACCTTTCAGTTAGCAGTCAATCACTTTAAAGACTACTAGATTTGTTCAATACTGAGGATTCAATAAGCTCTAAATGGAAAACATACCAGAACACAATAATGACTTTTTTCCCCATAGAATAAAGTAAAAGAATTTTGTTGCATCAACTTTGTGATGATTATTTTAGTAGTGTCCATCCGAGAGCCTTTTTGCATATATCCTAAGTGATCTGGCATTTGCTTTCAGGATGTCTGAGGGTTACAGATGATTGAGAATGAGAGACAGATGGTGGTAATAAGGAACGACATCGCCACCCAATAAGAAAAACTCAGAGCATGGCATTCTAAGACTAATGTCGTGCTCATTAGGAATTTATCATCCTTCTTCATGTCACCTTTCTGTGACAATATTAACATTTAAACCCAATAATTTGAATTAATAAAAAGAGAAATAAATTGCTTACTGCTTGTTGAGGAAGGCATCTTTTCTGGTACATATAGGATTTAAACTTCAACAAACTCAATCCAAGTTCTTATTC